AGTTTCCTGGGTCTTCCACTTTCCCCTTCTTATTCAGAATAAAAGTGTTAGTACTCTTGATACGTTAAGTGGGAACTTTGAAAATATCCGGAAATAAAAACTAACTGGCTTTCATGTATTTTTGTTGTACACGTTTTATTCTTGTTACTAAAGAAAATTCAAACTTTATATTCTTTAGAGACAAAACAGTAGCTGTATTTGTCTTATTAACTTTCCTCTCCTAGCAGATATGACTGCTTAATTATTACTGTTGCTACTTGTACCCTTTTTTCAGTGGCAAAGCACGCACAGAATAGGAAATAGAATACAAAAATGTTGTTTTCTCTCCTCCTATTAGCAATAAAATTTTTACTATATTAATATCAAATAGTGAGTAGATCGTGTACAGTCTAGCTACTGCTGAAAAGGAAATGTTGACGTGGTGCAGGAAATTACAGATTACTGGATAGCTAATGGAGTATATATGAAGTATAAATCCTTATTTATGAGAAACCCATTCTGGCAAGAAATTAAATTAGGGGATTTAAATATATATCTCTTATTTGTTAAGCCACAGGGGATTGTGATCTTTCTTTTAGCTGCTGAATGACATTTTTAATGAATTAATTTCAAACCCTTTAAGATATATTAGGAAAAAGGGATGTACGTTTGATACATTAGGTAATTATGCAGAAGTATTAAGGGATTCTACTTTCAAAAACATTGCTAGTCTTATCCTAGACTGTTTTTCTGTATTCTGTAGTCTGGGCTTATTTAAGTGACCTTTTCATTCCCCCTTCCTGCCAAATAATTAAGGTTTTAAAATATTTTGTTATTCCGTTGATAGTACAGCTAAAACAGAATGAAGTATCTTCTGTCCTTTCACACGGGTAATTTAAGTCCTCCATGACAAACTCTACCATTTGCAAATTGAGTTGATAATTTCACTGACTGTGCAGGGATAACAGAGTAAAACATTGTAAATACTTAAGGTGTGGGTATGAAGCATGGAAACCAAATTACTTGGGAGATTTTTAAGACCTATGCTTGGTATCCCAGATCAGGGGACATGTTGCCTTGTCACTGTAGCACAACTCCAGACTTGCAAGTGTTCTGCAGGCAGCTTGAGTTCAGGCTGTCTGCACATCTCATTTTCTTTCGTAATACACAGTGCAGAGGAAACAGTGCTTTGACCCTGGTATGTTCCCAAACAAATGAGATGTAAGGAGGTAAAGGGGCTAGATAACACCTGACTCTGCAGTGCAGGCATGGTCTGTAGTAAGGACTATTTGGAGCTCAGGGCTTTTCCTGCAGTTTCTGAAGTTTGGGTCCATAGCTTTGTCAGGAGGTAGGAGACATCTTGAAAATTGAGAATATGCTAAGGCTTTTGTGAGACCAGTTATTTAATTGTCCACTCCTTTTGTACATAAAATGTACACACAGTTGACGGAACAAATAGTTCATAAGGCAACTAACTCTGTAAACTCACAAAATGGCACTTTGAAGGTAACTTTTCGATAGTAAAGGGACCTCCAGAAACAAATTTGTTGAAATTCTTTTATGCTGCCCTGCTTAAGGGATCTTCAGCACTGCTGTGTTTGTAAGGTGGACCAAACAGGCACAAATCACTAGAACCGTGACTTTTGGCATGATTGTTTTTTGTGGGTTTGGGGAAAACCCTTGACTTTAACTTGCAGTTTCTGATGACAGAAGAGCTATGCTTTCGATAAGGAAAAACTAACAGCAGCCTGAGGTGTTGTAAAGATGAAGGGCAGGCTTCGTGACTGACATTCAGAATAGTTCTTAGGGATGTCAGGGGGTAGTTATTTCCTCTTCAGTGATGCAGTTGAACAAACTGTACACACAGTCTGCTTTTAAATGTGCTTTCTCTTCAATAAGAGATTACTTGGCACAATAACTTCATAAATATGGCACGTATAAATGCCCTAAGGCTAACGAAATATAAAAAGCAAGCATTATGTATCCATTTTATGAATATTTACCTGACTCTTCTCTCAAATTTATAAAACAAGGCTTACAAATACTTTCTTAAGAGTCCTCAGGCCTCACATATATATTTTTTTCCTCTTCCTCTGTGTTCCTTTTGTTTGTCTCCTTTCCGTGCAGATGACTTCCCTAAACCACAGATCACTGTCCAGCCAGAAACCCAGTCAGCAATCAAAGGCTCCAATTTGAGTTTTGTATGTTCAGCAGCCAGCAGCAGTGATTCCCCAATGACTTTTGCATGGAAGAAAGACAATGAATTACTGCAAGATGCTGAAATGGAGAATTATGCACACCTCCGGGCACAGGGCGGTGAAGTGATGGAATACACTACCATCCTTCGACTGCGCAATGTTGAGTTCAGTAATGAAGGGAAATACCAGTGTGTTATTTCTAATCATTTTGGTTCATCCTACTCTGTCAAAGCCAAACTTACAGTAAACAGTAAGTATGTTACTTTTTGCTTATGTACTTAAAGTAGAAGGATTTTAATCAAGTTATGTAAATACAGTTTTTCCTGTCCTCATCATCTGCATCTTTTAGAAGATCCCTTAATAAGCTGATGTTATTTTTTTAAAATATATCTACTTCCAAGATCATCATTCAGTTTTAAATCTGGCCCCATTGTACTGAAGTGTAGTATGGGAAAAAGCAAATAAGAGACCCAACACATAGTAAATCTTACAAATCTATGTAACCAGATGGAAAAACATTAATCTTTTCTTCACAGGAGGTAAGTCTGTACTTTGTTTCAAGGTACTATGGAAAGGTCATGTAGCAGGAGGCTTTTAGCAGAAATGCAATTTTGATCTAGGCAGTCTCATACAGCTCTCTCCCTTTCTATTTGATGGCTACTGATAAATTGAGGCTGTATGCTTCCCTGGGATTTTTAGGCTCAAGAAGGGTGTTAAGAAAATGCTGTGCAAAAAAGGAAAAGTATGTTTGATTTATTCATTTTGATATTGATAACTTTTCTGTAGTGCTGCCTTCATTTACAAAGATCCCCATGGACTTAACCATTCGTGCTGGGGCAATGGCACGTTTGGAATGTGCTGCAGTTGGGCATCCTGTCCCACAGATTGCTTGGCAGAAAGATGGTGGAACAGATTTTCCTGCAGCACGCAAGAGGCGCATGCATGTCATGCCTGAAGATGACGTATTCTTTATTGTTGATGTCAAGATTGAGGACACAGGCGTTTATAGCTGTACAGCTCAAAACACTGCTGGAAGCATTTCAGCTAATGCAACATTAACAGTACTAGGTAAGACATTAGCAGTCCTTAATGGCATAATCTCCTTTTCAGAACATCAGTTGATTAAAAATATCAATTTTATGGAAGTGCTGTTTAGAAATAAAAACACTGTAATTTGTATTGACATATACTTATAGATGAGAAATACGTACTCCAGCACACGTTCACTATTGTGATGCAAAATAATAGAAGTTATTTATTTCTCAGAGTGTACACAATGCCTGATATGTGGGGGCTGCAGGAGATTTTGTTTAATTAATTAATTTCCTGATGTTTTGTTAAAAATTTTTAATGTAGTTCTCTGCAATCTTGAGCATGTATGATTCAGCCTTTTTACCTTCTAAGGTAATGAAGCATCTAGGTCTGATCAATTGACAAGTAAACCATAGGATTCAAATTCCTTGAGTGTGTTTTTTCTGAGAATGAGAATAAGCTTCATTAAGCCTTACTGATGCATTCAATTTAGCTTTTCCTCTTGAGATGTGAAGGAAAAGGACATGTTTCCATTCTTGCAAGGTCATTTAGAATATAAGGCTTACACTTTCGTTTCAGAAACACCATCATTTTTGCGGCCTTTGCTAGATCGAACTGTAACAAAAGGTGAAACTGCAGTCTTGCAGTGTATTGCTGGTGGTAGCCCTCCACCCCGACTGAATTGGACTAAGGATGACAGCCCTCTCTTGGTAACAGAAAGACACTTCTTTGCTGCGGGCAATCAGTTACTAATTATTGTGGATACAGATGTAGAAGATGCTGGCAAATATACTTGTGAAATGTCTAATACGCTTGGAACGGAACGAGGCAACATTCGTCTTAGTGTAATTCCTACTCCCACCTGTGATTCTCCTCAAAACATTGCCCCATCACTTGATGATGATGGATGGGCCACAGTTGGCATTGTGATCATAGCTGTGGTTTGCTGTGTGGTGGGCACTTCCTTGGTGTGGGTGGTCATCATCTACCACACCAGACGGAGAAATGAAGATTGCAGCATCACAAATACAGGTGTGTAAACTGAAGGTTTGCCTTGGAAAGGAAAAAGAATACTTGTGGTTGCTTTACAATGACTTTATTGTAGGAATATTTGTGTGCTTTGACTCAGAGTCTGAAGAGTGAATTACTTGTTACCTCTGCTGACAAGTCTAAAAATGCTTCTACAAAGTCTTGAAGTGTGCTAATGGTTTTTGTGTGTGTTTTGCTTCTCCACAGATGAAACAAATTTGCCTGCAGACATTCCAAGTTACCTGTCATCCCAGGGGACACTGGCTGAAAGGCAGGACGGATATGGTTCATCTGAAAATGGCAGTCATCATCAGTTCCTCACATCTTCTGTGGGAGGGTATTTCTTGCAGCAGAGGGACAGTAATGGTAGGTGTAAAATGCTAAGATTTTTCATATTGCTTGAGTAGCTGCATGTTGGCTATTGTCTTTCTGACTATTAGAAATAATAGTAGAAATAACACTAAAGAAACACTGAAATTTAACTGAGGATATGAAATTTATTGCTTGGGATTGCTTCAATGACATAACAACAGTAAGTAGGTTCTGGTCATCCAAATGATATTACGGCTTTGCTTAAATTGTGATGTTATTCTCTAGTCTTGAGAGTAAATTTAAATCCCATTTCCAAAACAAGAGTGTCCAAAAGGAATTACAACAGCAAGTCTTCCTCTTTTGTAGCTTGAAAAGGATGCTTTTAATTAGTGTAGGCATGGGTGGTAATATCAGCTTAATTAAACTTTCCTGTGGAAAAGTTAGTAGGGTCAAAGTCAATAAAGAATTTAGGATGACTGCAAGTTAAAAGCTGCAATACTTAACATTTGTACGCCCAGCCCCTGAGAATCCAGAACATACCTGGGTTAGGGAGGAAAAGGCATCTTGCTACGAAGAGTTGGGGTAGGAGGGAATGGAGCAGTGATGAGAGTTCTGCATTTGTAGGGTAGTGAGAGGAGTAGCCTCTTTGTCCAGTGTCTACAGCCTTGAGGCGCCATTGATCTTAAAAGTCAGTATAGCTGTTCAAGCAGTGAGTGACTCCCTCAGATTATTCTACCTAGGACTTTCTTATTAGAACTCTGTGCTCCAAAGGGTGGCTGTGTGACAGAGCATGAGCCTGGCTTCCAGTGCTTTAGAGGAAGTCAGTCCCTGGTTCTGATCCCCATGATTGTGTTTTTTCTGTTTTCCAGAGACTTTGTAATAAAGCACATCTTAACACTTGCTAGAATTAGAATTCTTACCAAAAGGTTAGGTTAAACTTAAGCAAGCTCTAAATACACTAGGATATTTAGTTGAGCAGATAGGGTTCTTAAAAGAACAAAATTTAAGAACCTGTAAGCTGAAGCTTAAGGAAAGACCATACACTGACATGTCAATTTTATTTTTAAGGCATTTGCCATCTAGATAATGGCAGCGAAACAGACTTGGAGGGTGTTGCAGATCCATTCCTCTGCCACTATCTAGGGACTTCAGGGACCTTGTATTTAAAAGGAAATATGTATGGCTCTGAGGCCTTTGAAGCATACAGTGCAAGTAAGTTGGGAGCAGGTGGATGTTTTAGTACTGACTGGATCTTTTGCTATAATGAATCTGTATAAAAACAATTTTTCATTTTCTTTAGGTTGCAGCCCTGACCAAAGAACAGCATGCCTGGACCCTTATGAGTCTGGATATTTAAAGAAAAAGGAATGCTATCAATACTCACCTCCACTGGAAGATCCCTTTGACCAGTGTGTTGGCATTATTGGGATGCAGGCTGCAAGTAGCAGATTGATTAACTCTGTTTATACTCAAAATGAAGGAACTGGACTAAAAAGCAAAAGTCCGAACTCAGACGCATTTGATTTCAGTAGAAGTTTGGAACCCTCGTCTATTGTCAGTAACAGCACTTTCATGGGTATGTTCTAAGTATTGTTTTTTATTCAAGCTGCTGGCATTCTTTCTGTCTCGTTTCCTACTTCCAGCATTAAGCACAACTGTTTACTCAGCTTTTTCTTTCCCAGTATTACACTAGGCAATTCTGTAGTAGTGTTTAGATGCTGATATAGCTAGCATTGTAAAAAACCTAATTTTTTAGTTTTCCTTGAGCTGCTTTCTGTGGGTATCTGTGAATTTAGTAAGATAATACAGCATATGGGATAGAAATAGTTTATAAAGGAGGAGAGGAAAAACAGGAAGTAGCTGAGGAAAGGCAGTTCAAGAGTTCTCCTTAACATTTTGCATGGGTTTTTGTCTTTTTGTTTTATTCCCCCCTCTTCCTCCGTGAGTAAATTGTGATGTTTCAGTATCTATTTTTTAAGGCTCACGCAACTGAACTGTACATGTGGGCTCGCTCTCTCTCCACTGCAGTGCATGAAGATAATTGGATGCCCCAGAAATTAGGGTCCCCTCTGGATCATACCAGAAGATAGCCAGGAGATTCACCCTATCCTGTGTTGTGAATGGAGCAGCTTGGGGCTAGATCAGAAGCAGAACTGAGTTACATCAAAGAAGTATTCAGGTCAAACATGGTAGTCAGGTGATGTGGTTCACCTCTGGGTGTAACTGGGAGCCCTGTTCTGCTTCTCAGGAAACCTGACTTATAAGAACCATTAAATACAACATCCCAAATGTTTGAAGTGAACAGGAACAGAAAAGTAATTATAGTAAAACTGCATAATGAGCATATTTAGATCACCGGGAGATCTTAATAGCTCACGTTTACATAAAAATGTCATCAGTGGTTCATATCTCCTATCTTACTATAGCTGGCAGATTTCCATAAATGTTAGGATACTTATTGAAATACACCTTAACAAACTTCAGGGATACCAGAATACATCTAGTATTCCTGAAGGTCCATCCTGGGACCTTTCACATTAGGCAAAATGTGTGCAAGGGCTCAGGGCAGGTTGGGAGACTCGAACTCCAGTATATGAGGATATATTGTATAACATGGTGAGCCAGAACTGTTTACCCTTCAAAGTCAGGCACTGTGGAAAAGTGCCCTCTCTACCCCTCCTTTGTCATCTTCTCTCATTGGTGTGTATGGCAAAAGAGTTCTTGAAGCTTAAGTCAGGGTTTACAATTTTAATCCAGATTTCAGGGAGAGGTGGGGGGAAGACGAGCATTACCTTTGAAATTCCCTAAATTTTGGGTCTTGGTATGGTTGGTTGGTTTAAAATACATATTAGCCCACCATACTGCTTTCATCCCCGTGATATATGTGTGCCAAGTGCACCCCTAGTACCCTGGATTTGTCTCCTGTCTGGTGTGTTGGCATGGTTGATCAAGGGCTGGGTCTGCTGGCCCTGCAAGGGAGCCAGGGGAAATGTGCATCACTGGGCTCTTTGTTCTCAGGAGGTGTGGAGGGAGGTACAAGTTCTGAAGTTTTCCCCTTCGAAAGCCAGATGATTGGACTGTAAAACATTGCAGATGCCATGACATCTGGCAGAGGCCCTGGAACTACACAGAGCCTCCTGGCTGCCTGCCACTATTGCTGTGGTGGGACTGTGCAGATAGGGCTTTACTGTGTCTCCTTCAGAAAGTAGTTGTACTATATGTGGGTATACCCAGGAGTTAATGCATCCTCAAGGGTTCATGTTTCCCTGTCTCCCATAAAAATCTATGCACAGCTACTTTTTATTGTCAGTTCTCGGAGCTACTGCCCCTCCCAACTTGTATCATCATTGCCATGGATGCTTCATAATCATTAGCACTCATCACTCAAAGAGGCAATGGTTAGATCTTGGAGGTGGTGGCTTTGGAAGAAGTCATGATAGTTTTCTTGTCTTTAGTTGTGGATTTCCTTCTTCAGCCTCCTTGCCTTCAAATTCAGCCCAATTTTGCCTCTAAAATCACAATTACAGCTGGCATTAACATCACTGTTGATGCATGAGCCAGAAAGTTCACAGTTTTGGGTTTGTTTTTTTAAAGACAGGATTCATTTGTAGCTTTGGTGCTGTGAGTAACATACTTCCATGTTGTGTCAGGAGCCAAGCAGCTCTGCAAATCCTTGATGCAAATACAGACTTTGTCCAAACTCTGTCCAAATCCATTTTTAGTAACTTCTCAGATTAGTTTTACTTGAAATCTTTGCTTCTAGCAACTAAGCAAAACTAGAATTATGGCTTTTTGGGTGCAAAATTTATTAACAACTGTAGTGTTAAGGTATTAATAAACCCAGAGTTCTTCAAAATCAGCCTGTGGCACATTGTCTTCTGAAAACAAGTTTTTTGAGAATCATTTACGGACACTATGACTTGTGACGGCCGTATCTTTCTTCAGTGGAAAAAGAGAAGATCCTTCTGGCAGAGGTGTTGACACTCACACCTTCCCAATGGTAAAGAGTGACAGGAACTTTAATTATTTTCTGGCTAGTGAATCCATATAATTATTAATAAAGGTTCAACTGATATGCCAAAGTTTCTTTGAGCTACACCTGTTCTAGCCAGTTACGGGCAAAGAGATGATGAACAGGTGTGAACAGAGATTTTGACTGGTGGGACCTTCATTATTAATGGGAGATGCTAGCCAGTAAAAGATTGCATTTAGGTTGCACAGTAGGAGGATGTTGTATAACCCTACATGTTAAGGGTATGTTTTTTTAATATACATTTTTTTTTTTTTTTTTTTTTTTTACTAGTCTGCATGACAGATTTCATGTGCCATTCGTTCACTGAAGAATAAAACAGGGAGACTGGTGTGACTTTTGTATTAAAAAGTGCCTTATTGTATATATGCTTGCAGTTTGGTGTGGCCACCTCCCACCTCACCACTCTTCCCAAAGAAAAATGGAAATGGAATAGTCATGAAAACAATAGTAATGAAGTTATGTGTGGCTATATATTTACTTTGGAAATGTTTTTAATGTCTCAGGTGGCAGAGCCTTGCCATATGCTTGTGATCGCATGGATGTTTTAAGGGGTAAAATAACAGTTAAGTAAAATCTCACTTTGGTGATCTTTTGCTTGTGTTAAAGATTGCATTCTAGCATGCAGCACTTAGTGAGACACAGAACTGTTAGCAGCAGTATTTCTGTACTTACTCATTTACTGTCTTTCAGGAACATTTGGAAAGCCTTTATGGAGGCCTCAGCTGGACTCCCTCTCAAGTTGTAGACAGCCAGAGAATTGCCAACCAAAACCTTCCTGTAATAATCATCATGCCTCACTGGACTTCAGTGTAGAGGCAGATGAAGATGGAAAGGAAAGGACAGTTTCTAGAGGAGAAAATAGCATTTATACTTACAAACAGTCCTTTGAAAACTTTAGGACTTCTACTTTTCAATCCTTTGATTTGGATACATAGCTCCTTTTGGACCTGCCTTTGATTTCTGGAACCAAAGACATACTTTGACATACTACTACCTCAGTGTGGAATTTTATTTAAAAAGGGTGTGAAGAAAGGAAGAAGGGAAGAAAGAAACCACGTGATGCTATGAATTCAGAACAAAACAAATGCATTTTTATTCAAATAAAGCATAATTGCCAAAATGTTCTACATTTTTATACAGGGAAGACATTCTTTATAAAAATACTATAATTCTAATTATTTTATAGCTTTGTTTTATACAAATAATATCTTTGTAAATTAATGATGTAAATAGTACAGCATATCTATTTCTATGTCAGACTTCATTATATTGAAATTAGTAGTGAGCATTCTAATTTTGTACTGTTACTTGTACCTTTTTACAAATGGAAACTCCATGCTGTTTGCAGGTATCATGCATCTTATTTGCACATTATTTTTAATAAAATATGCTGCCATGTGGTCTCTGACCCACATTAATGTACGAAGAATGAAAAGCGTGACTTAGGTTTGTAGATAATGTTGCATATATGGGTGCCCTCCATTGCATGTTTGCACCTTTGTTTGACTAAAACTGGTATCTTTAGATGCACTGTGTTAAACATGTTCAGCTTCTAGGAGTGGGTGTGGTCCTGCCACAGCTACCAGTAATGTGGGTTGAATTTATTTGTGCCAAAAGTAAGTATGCAAATCTTCTGCTTTATGAATTTCCACTATCAGATAGGTGTGCACCCGTTCTCAGTTTTAATGCATGCAGGGCTGTAGTACCAACAGCCTGCCCATGCCTGTGCGCCGAGAGTGCATACATCTGCTGGAGGATATGCACAGTAGATGCACAAATCCATACCAAACTATTTAGTAAAAGAATTAAAAAGCTCTGGATATCTGCCTGTCTTTCCGAAGTGGCTTAGTGTTAAGCATTTGCCAACTATGCAGCGCATGCCCAAGTCTTTGCTTTCCCATACCCTTTCTTCCTCTTTTTTGCTTCTGCAGCTGCTTCTGTGCCCAACATGAGAAGGTAATCCAAGTACAAGATAATGTTTTCATTGGTTTAACTCATATTTCTGTTCCTTACTCAGCTGCCCTTTTTTCTGCTTGTGGATGAGATCTGTGCTTTATTCAATAGCTCAGTCAAGTTGAGCAATTGTAAATTCTTGCTGGGTTGCATTTGCAGTAATGAACCCAATGCCTTTAACTATACAAAGTCAGAGAGGATTGCTTACTATAAAATGGTAATTAAAACTAAGTGAAAACTCTGTTTTAATATGTACAGATGCCTACTATTTTAAAAAGCTGTGAATCCTGTCATCATCACAGCATTAAAACAGAGAGACTCACAAATGGTTAATATTACAGTACATCAGCTATTTAAATCTGCCTACTTTGAAGGTGCAAACTTGCATGCTTGCCAAATAGCTTCTTTTAAACTAAATTGAAAGCAGCTGTCAGAGTAGGCCATCACAGACATCATGGCTAAAGCTAGAGCAAAGGTTTCACTGCCTGGTGTAGCTGAGCTAAGGTCTTTTTGTTGTTTGCAGCCAGAAACCTGGTACCCAGATTGCGATGCAATTTCCCTTTAATTTAGGCGCCAGTATTAGAGACAGGAAGTTAATCCATCCTTAGTCACTGGTGGTCTAAGTGTAGAGAATGGATTTTTGCGTGCTTTAGTTGATTATATTGCCAGATTTTCTGACTCGTATTGTTAATTTGTCTTCATTGCTGCCAGATGTGTAGATGTGGTGACAGACATTGATATGGGTATTTGATTATAATGAAGTGCATTTTGAAAGAGATTAATTTTTCCTGAGTGAAGCACAAAGCTATAAGTCAGTAAGACAAGAAACTTAAATTTGATTCACTCAGTAACTCTCCCTTTTCTTCCCTTCCAGTGACCCTAACTTTTTCAGGGGGAGGAGAGCTGGGGGCTGTGGTAGCTTGTGTTTGCAACCAGGCATTGCTTTTTGACATATCTAAAATAACCAAAGAAAGTTAAAAACTGTAAGTACAGCTTTCATTCCAGAATTAATGTTTATTCCATGTGTCTATCATGAAAAACAAACTTTAATTATATATTCTGTAGTGGGGGAAGGTTGAAAACAGTGACAGTGCCATTTTATTCCTTTCTCAACTTTTCCCTTAAAATTTATTTATTTATTTTTTTTTTACTTGCTGTTAAAGAGTATAAAGATCCTAATCTTCTAAAGACATGGATCTCTGTACCTAAATAAACATTCAGGGTCAATGACTGATTTACAAATGCTTCCCATCAAGTTTCTTTTTAGCATCCTAAAAATAAGAGTGACTTAAAATCTTATTTGATGCCTTAAATACACAGAAATGGAAATGGACACTCCCAAGTGATCTTTTCTGCCAGTGTGAGTTTTCATGTTTAGCAAGAATTGATTTTGCTTAAATACAGTGGCAATCTATAAATTGCAAGATAACTTCAGTATCTTAATAGTTCTTTTTAAGACTACTAATGTAACCAAACATCTGTTTTAAAGGCTTGCAAGTTCTATTGCCTCCTCCTTCACTCCCCCTTCTGAAGATCCAGATGTTAGGGAGCTGGTAGGTTTATATTTACACAGCTGAAAGCTAAATCATAAGTTTATGTGATGAGGAAATAAATTGCAGCCAACACTGGGTAAAGCTTACACTGCATCTTGGAGTCTTAGAATGAGAAACAAGTGTTGCTGGATAACAAAACAGACATTTTGCAGTTTTATGTCCAGCAGCAACTGGCTCACTTAAAACTTGTAAAATTTTCTTTAAAGGCAGCATCCTCTTAATGCTTTACACACAAAATGTTTTGCCCAATGAACTCAAACAATTGCTGATATATAGTTTCTGCAAGGTTGAATAATTAATTTGAATTATTTTTGACAGATAAATGAAGTTATTTGTTTACCAGAATCTCTGGAGCAAGTATTTCCTAAGTAACTTGAATGTCTGAGATGACACTAGGCAATACCTGAATCGTTTTTTAACTGAAGGCTGTTATTATTTCAGACACACAAAACCTTAAGGAGTGTTACAGTATTTCAGGACCAAATGCTTTAATTTAGGATTCTTTACTTAACACTAAACAGATCTCGGCAGTGCCACAAGAAAGTGGGCAAAGAATTAAGCCCAGACTTTCCACTGAAGAATATTACTTTTCCATCTGAGGACTTGTTAGTGTCACCAAACAATTCTGATTTTGGTCTTGGGATCTTTTGAACACTTAGGACTTAACCCTTGAACTGCTTCAATGAAGCTTAAAGGTATGAGTTAAGATTGAAGTTCCGTTAAGCATTCACAAAGGTTTATATTGCAAACCTTGTGTTCTGTCAACCTTACAAACCAGGACCATATCTGGGGATTGTGTTTCTTTTCAAATATAAATATAACCAGAAATTTTACTTGCTGCTTGAAAGACTTACTGTCGCAGGTGTGATACATCTCAGAGAATTATATTTTTTTCAGTGAAGTCTTCTCCTTTTTTCCCCTCGCTTGTAGTAGTGAATGTGTCTGTTGGATGTTCATTTAGCAGCTGTTCAAAATTATTAAGAAAATAAGGGAGGAGCCTTAGCCTACTTAATGAAGGGACAAAAACAGTGTGGAACAAGGTGCTGTTCTTGTACATAAGGTTTTACTCAGATGAAGCGCTTACTAGATACCTTCCTTTATTATATTTTAGGGAAGTGTTACAGCAGGGAATAAAAGCCATAGTGTCTTTACTCACTTATGTGTGGCAAAATATGCTTCTCACAGTTGTGCCTCAGTATTAGGGGTCAGTAGTTCTACTGAAATAACATACGTGCACATCCTATCCTCCTGAAAGGCATGGGAGGCTTCTCCTATTTCCCGTGCTGCTTTTTCTCTCGTAGCTCGATACTGCTCCCATGTCCTTCGGGGACCCTCTTTGGTAACCTGCGCTATTCTGTTCACAGTTTCTTTGCCTATCCTGTCACTCTGGTTATAGGCTAGGATAAATTTATTCGGTTTATGGAGCACAGTGTAGTTGAAGGCATTAAGTCAGCAGTGGTGGGGTGCTGTAGGAGGGAAAGGGTGGAGAGACGGTGCATCCTACTTACTTTTCAGCACTTGCTTTGTAGACGTGCAAGAGGAAGCTGTAATTTACAATTTGGGTCCACTGCTGGATAATCAAAATTCAGGTATTGATTGTACAGTTGTTTGAAATAACATCTTGAACAGTGAGGCTTCAGCTTCTTTTATGGCAGAATGATACAAAACCACATTAGTTCCTACCCAGTTAAAAAAAACTACTTTTGGTACTAATCCTGGTTTCAGTCTACTTATTTTAGAAGTCTGCTGAAAATGCCTGTAATGGAAGAATTGACTTTGATGTCCTTAGGTTCTATTTATGCTACTGTCTTCCATTTTTTGTTGCTATAACATGGAAAATTCAGGGCTCCGGCCTCCATTCATCAACAAATGGTGGGGTTTCATGTTGATTTTCCTAGATGTGACAGCACTTGATAGTTCAATCTAATTCTGTCTTGCTGCTAACATGCTGGTGCGCCATCAGTAAGGGAAGTAGAGCTACAAAGGTACTGTAAAGGGAACGCAGGGGAGGAAGGCTGAAGTTCCTGTCATATCATAAAGTGGTTTTGAATAATCCCCTTGTTCCAAGGGAACAACTTGTGTAGGTTTTAATGTTTAGTCCTCGTAGCACACTTCAATAAGCTTATCAAGAAGTTAGAACTGCCGCTCTTACCAGCTCTTGGATAGGGCAGCTCTGCCATTTTCTGCAGGACACAGTACATTGGAGCTGGAGATTCTTGGTGAGATACATGTCTGAGGCTTACTCCTTGTATGGCAGAATTGTTGCTGACAAACAGCCATCTGGGGGGAGGGTGAACTGCATCTGAAGAGAGATGCACATTTTCCCCAGAAATGTTAGAAGAGTTTTTGAAACTGCTTTTCTGTCTTACTGTGATTCTGCTCTTAAAAACAGACAGACTTGGTCCTTCATTTGGCATCAGGAGGATCCTCATGACCTGCCATACTGCATGCAGAAGGATTTTGCAGGCTATTGACTAATATTGAAATAGTTGAAAACTAGAGAGCTTGTACAAAAGAATATTTGATCCACTGGTACCACATCATAACTGTAACACATCTTCAAATGAGGCTTTTATTTAATAGTTTTCTAACAGCTGTGGCTGACCAGCACAGCTACGAAGAAGCTACTGTTTGAGTGACTGCTAGAAGACATAGATAAACAAGCAGTCTCACAGATGAAACTAGCTACTGTCCTGGCTTAAAATATACTGTACTTGCTCTGCTACCTGATGCAGGTCTGTGCACCAGCAGCATTAGAAAGCGTCAGTGCTACAGCAGCCAACTGCCCAGAGACTGGCTTCTGCCACACACTGATCGTGTTCTTGATTAGCATAAGTTTCTTTCTCTATTAACCTTCCCTCAGGAAAGGGGAAACACAACCTCCATTGTAATTAGCTCACACGGCCTGCCA